GAGAGAAGAATTCTCAAACAATTAAACCTTTTAAGGACAAATTGGACCTTATTTGAATAAGTTAATCTCACCTACACCACAAGCATGTTGTAATTGATGTTAATTGTGAGTTTGAGCCCTTAATTTTGACTTAATTAAATTAATTATGAAAATTAGGATTAAGGTTCTTAGTGAGGTAGGTTAATTTGGGGAAAATAAGTTTGAGTTATAAATTCATACAATTGAAGTCTAAACATATTAATTAGGCCAAAAATTGAGAAAGAAAAATCAAAATTTCCTACGAGTTAGGAGAGAGAGAGAAAAGTTTCAACCCAAAATTGTAATTTAGGGGTTTTGATGCTTTGATTTGTTTGATGTTCTATTGCTTGATTATGTGTTCATTAGGTATGAATTGATGATTAAGTATGAAAAATTACATTAAAAATGAAGAATTGTTTTTGAATTTCTTAGGGATGCATTCGGCCCAAAATATGGAATTTTAGGGTTTTGATTTCTTTGCTTATTTAATGAATTATTGGTTAATTAGGAGTTTATTAAATATGAATTGATGAATGAGAATGAAGAATTCCATAAAAAAAATTAAAGAATTTCACTTAATTAGCCTAGGTCGAAGTACGACCCAAATCTTGAATTTTAGGATTTTTGATGCTTTGCTTGATTTGATGATTTATCACTTGATTATGTGTTAATTAAACATGAATTGATTGTTGAGTATGAGAAATTATATGAAAGATGAAGAATTTTCATTGAATTTCTTAGGAACCCATTCAACCAAAACCTTATAATTTTAGGGTTTTTATTCATTTGCTTACTTGATGAATTCTTGGTTAATTAGAAGTTAGTTAAGTATGAATTGATGAATGAGAGTGATAAATTTCATAAAATTGAAGAATTTCACCTAAATTACTTAGGCTCATATTCGACCCAAATTGGGAGAAAATTAGGGTTTAGGTGTTTTTGATTGTTAACGGTTAAATTGATCAATTTGAAATTATAGTAATGTAATAAGATGAATTAGAATGGAAAATTTCATTAAAATTGAGAAATTAACTTAGATTACCTTAATTAAGGTTTCAGCCCATTAGGGCCCAATTAAGGTTTATACATGTATTTATCTAATAATTTATTTATTAATTAAGTTCTTGATATGATAATGTAATTAAATGAAATAATATGAGGAATTGGTGTTAAAATTGAAATAAAAGATTTGATTTAGCTCGAGGGTGATATTCAGACCTATATAGATAAATTTAAGGTTTATTTTTGGTTTGTGTAATTTAATTGTAATTTGGTTCTTTTGTTGCTCATTTGATGTGTTTGATGCATTTATGGTGTATGAAGGTTGTGATGTTGATGATTATGGAAGTGTATTGGCTTATGTTGTGTAATGATGTTATTATTTATAATGGTTTGGATTGATTTTAGTAAGGTAATGTACATGGTGCATTTTATGTTATTAAATTATGCATTACCATGACATAAATACATCTCACTCATGACATGCATTTCATGAAATTATAATAGTTATGCATTTACGAGTCCAATACATGCGCATGCCAAGTTTATGAAAATGATTTAAAGTCATGAAACGAGAGGATTTTATATCAAGACTTTTCCAATAATAATTGGAAACATTTTATAGTTATATGGTTTTCATGGCTTTCATGTTTTTTATGAGGAGGCCTTCACGGGTTTTCCATACCTATACTTGGTTCATGATTTAAAGTTCAAGGTCGAGTGGGATGCAAACGTGCATTTTTCAAAGGCTTGATAGGATGCGCGTCCACATACGGATCTAGTTCTCTAGACATATTATGAAAATCCTAAAGTACCTACAATGGGATATGTCCAAAGATAGAAATTTTTTTTAGATTGATCATGACAAGGATTTTATGACATGAAAAAGGATTTAAGACGAGCATGCAAATGATTTTTATATGCATTTCACATATATGCATCACATTCATAGATTAACTTATTGAACTATAGCTCACCCATTTTCTTGTAGTGTAGATAATACAAGTAAATATGGTGATGTTCACACTTGAACCGACTATCGAATGAACAGCGTGCCGCGTGCACCTTGGATGTGGTCGGAAGATGGACCTCTTTCACACTATAGTTATTCTAGTACTCGGTATTTTAATTTATTTTCCGAGTATGACATCTTTATTTTATATGATAGTCAAAGCTATGAAGAAATAAGTGGTAATTAGAAAGAAAAATAATGTACTAAATAAGTCACTTTTGTAGTATATGACATAGAACTAATATATATAAATTAAGGAGAGTCCGTATATTACTCGAAATATTGATAGTAAATTAGTGGTTTGACCATAGTTAGTGTAGTTTTGTTTAAGTTATTCTCTCACACATTGTATCAATAGTAAAATAAGAAAAATAAAATTAATGAGATAATAATCATAATAAATGATAATTAAGGAGAATAAAAGCAATCAATTATCAATTATCGAGTAACGAGTAATAACTAAATGAATTTGTATAAACTAATAAGAAAGGAATTTGAGAAAAGCAAGTGTCATAGATTCAGACCATTTAGTCCAATTAATTTAATTAAAATGATAAAATGTAAAAAATTTATAGTACATTTTGGGTTGAAAATAAGGACTTGTTTGTCATTATTAGACTTATGTAGCTAATTTCATACATAGAGTACTATAGGAAGGACACATTGCCTTGTTAATTCACATTAATTGGGAACGGGGAGTTTCAATTTTTCTTTTCATTAGGATTAGGGAAAGGTAATTATTTATATTGCTCTACACCAGGGTAACTTTTGGTTTCACGTTTTGCCATTATTTTATTAAATATTTAGAAATTAAGAAAACTGGCTTTTAATATACCCTTTTCTTATTCACATGTCTGCTGGACATATCTCGAGCTCCCATTCTGACAGCACATCAACTTAACCGATTTCCTAGGTTAAAAGACTCCAATGTCAACACGATATATAGTACAGAAATCTCGTTAATCATATTAATAGTAAAAAACCTTAATTAATCAAAATCCAAAAAAGGTGTAGCCGTATAGGTTTGGCTTCCTGTTCAAAACAAGCGAACCTTTCTTCATGCAGGCCCAACTAAAACGCTCTTCTGACTTGTCGTTTTGATTCATCACTTTCTTCCTCCTTCCATCATCACTGCTTCTCTCTTTCTGTATCTCCAACAAACAATCGTAAGCAATCAATAATGCCATCTCTGTTTCCTTTTTCGTTTGTTTTAATCTATTTATGAATGAATATGTTATTAATTTCTGTGTTTGTAGTTTCGGGTTTGGTTTCCTTTGATGATACTGGAAGGTAATCCTGTCTCTGGCCTTCATAATTATATTTCAAAAGAATTTATTTCTCATTAATTACTGCTTTGGTGATTAGTTAAAGCGAAAATAAATTCTGGGGTTTTTTTTTCAAGTCAGTAGATCTTGTTTATCATGTACTATGTAGAACAGATTAGTGTGATTCGGTTTTGTGGGCAATTGTGCTATCCAGTATGGCTTGATTGTTATTAATTTATGTTTTGTTTATTATTATTTTTTATTTGGGTTTTCTATGTGGTTTGTGGTTGTTTAGAATTTTCATTTAAGTAGCAACATATTTGAGTCCCAAATCTGCATTAGATTCTTTTTTGGTATTGGAAAAAGAATGGATTTTTAATTGTTTTTTTTCTAGTTCTTTTAAATCTCCTCACAGTTTGATTGTTTTTTATTTGATTAGAGTCTTGTTGCAGTCAGTTCCTATGTCATTAATTCAATTCAAAATTTTAATATTTACATCTCTATGTTTGATAGCTATCGAGTATGCAGCTAGAGATTATCATTTCCAATGTGTGTTGGTTAGGTATTCTAGGTGAAACTTTTTTTTCTTCTTAACTCTTGTTATTGCTTATCATCTTTAAGCAAGCTCTGTTTAAAGAGAGACAAAAACAAATAAAAGAATGGAAAAGATTGTTTTGTTTCATCAGGGGCCTTAACTGCAAAACATTGAAAGTTGCATAGGGCAGTAGCCTTAGTTAGAGGATAAATTTGATGTTTTCTGATGGATCCCTTCCACATAAAACTGTATTCTTTTGTATCCACTGGTGTCAAATCCTGCATTTTGCAAAGTGCAGTAACTAAGAACCGGTTCCTCTAGATCAAAGGGCCAAGGAACAATTTCCATTGCAGGGAACAAAGAAATTAGGGTAAGAAATGGAGAGTCTAACGTTTCGAGCTAGATGCAAGGCAAAAACCTGTACTCTGTTTTATTTTCCCTTTCCTAAGCAAGTACCTGAACTCGTTTGACTTGTCAGCTGAGTACCCAAACCAAAAAAATTCATTCAATCGAAGGGATTAATTTCATTAACTTGATTGAGCATTCTATTTGGCCAACAAAAATAGGATGTAAATGGGATTAATCTAAGCTTTTGGATGCTTTTTTTTTTTTTTTTTTTTGTGATATAATAATGCTAATGAGAAAAAAATAAATAAAAATAAACTATTATTAAAAACTTGAACTAACTTATTCCACGTCAAATAAATAAATAATAAATAAGTAATATATACAGTTGAAAAATAATCATTTACTACAAGCCTTAAGCTTTTTGGTTAAAACTTAATATCAACTACCAAACTTAATTTGCTATCATAAATAATAGATGAGCATTAAAAAAGAGGGCACGAAGCTGAGGGCGTTCTCTCCAAGAGTATAGGAATTGAAAAATGTAGAAGTTCTTGATAGTTATAAGGCAATTAAGAATAGGTTTCCTTTAATCCACGAAATTAAACAGCAAATTTAGGCCAATAGAGTACTTGTACAATTTTTTTAGTAGCCTCAGTTTAGTCCTCATATTAATTAGGCTCGTAGGCCATCATCATCGTCTTCAGCATCCATAATATTATTATAATTTATCATGAATTGAATTGCATAACCTCGTTATTTATCAGAAAGTGATGAATCAATAATAATTACAATCACTTTCCCTTCACGGATTGCAAACAAATCAATGCAGGCTGCATGCAATGGGATTTGCAATCACTCCCTTCTCTTTCGTCTTTTAAAATTGGTAAAAATATGTCCTACGTATGCCTCAACTTTTGTGTTTTAGAACTTTAATATGATATTTTGTATCTAATGGAATTGACTTCTTTACATTAAGATGAATCTCCAGAAATTCTATTCCAGGAGAGGAAATTCCTTGATTGGATTATTATTGATTTTACAATATTTTCCATCATTTGTTTGTCTCAATAGTATGTTTACAAAGAACATTGTCTATGTAGGCATATTTCCATTTGCAATGGCAATAATGATCCATGCTGACCCTCACAAATTAGTTTTTGTTTGTTCTGGATGTGATTTTTTTAGTTTTTGATTCTGCATACCTAAGAATCTGTAGATCAGAAGTCTGCTTTTTTGCTTATTTTTCATAAGATTCAAATGTTCCTTGGTTCTGTATAAATCTTTTGTTTTGAGTTCTGACGACAAGAGAAGAAAGGACAAAAATAAAAATATCAAGTGGAAGATTACCAACTTCTCTATTGCCTGTCATATATTAAATTGCCTTACAATGATCACAATGGTGGACTGAGACATCACGTTGAATGTGGTTTAGCCATACTAGGTTCTTGTATGCACAGCTACGATGGTTGAGTTCTTTTGCCTTTTTACCTCTGAGAATTCCTGTAGGGATAGAATTAACTCTCAATAGTTATTAATCATGCTTTTTTCTTTGTAAATACAGCATAAAATTTCATGGATAGGATAAGTATATATCATGGGTTTGATGGCTGTGTTATATACTTCATGGTTGACCACCTGCTCAAAAGTATATTCCGAGTCTGCTTCATTTTGATCTTTTGGAAAATACATGCACCACAACCATGATGAGTAGCACATTGACTATGAGATCCCTCCTTACCCTTGATTCCTTTATCTTTTAATCAATTACTTGGAGGATCTTGGCTGATGATAAATTTGTCTTTTCGTCTTGACAGGTAATCTGTCCTAGTGATGATATGGGGTCAACCAATGGATTGGTAAGCCCACCTGGGAAGAAACCTCTTTTTTCATTTGGTGTAATCTCTGATGTCCAGTATGCTGATATTCCTGATGGTCAGTCATTCCTTGGTGTTCCCCGGTATTACCGACATAGCATTTGTGTATTGCAGAGGGCAGTTCAAAAGTGGAATAACCACCGGAATCTTAACTTTGTGATAAACTTTGGGGATATTGTGGATGGGAAATGTCCGTCAGACCAATCTCTAGATGCTGTAAAGAAAGTAGATAATGAATTTCAGAAATTCAATGGTCCTGTTTATCACTTGATTGGCAATCACTGTCTCTACAATCTTCCCCGTGACAAATTGCTACCATTATTGAAGATACCAGGTCTCAATGGCCATGCCTACTATGATTTTTCACCTAGTCTAGAATACAGAATTGTTGTACTGGATGGCTATGATATCAGTGCCATCGGATGGCCTCAAGGTCATTCTAAAACTTTACAAGCATTGGAATTTCTTGAGACGAAAAACCCAAATTCGGATAAAAACAGCCCAGCAGGACTGCTGGGTCTTGAGAGGAGGTTTGTTATGTTCAATGGAGCTGTTGGGAGAGAACAACTTGAATGGTTAGATGGCATACTTAAGGATGCAACAAAGCTGAAGCAGAAAGTGATTGTTTGTTGTCATCTGCCTTTGGATCTTGGTGCATCATCTCAAGAAGCACTTCTATGGAACTATGATGAAGTAATGAACGTAATCCACCGGTACAATTGTGTCAAGGCATGCCTTGCTGGACATGATCACAAAGGGGGACATTCAATTGATTCCCATGGAATACACCATAGGTCCTTTGAAGCAGCCCTAGAGTGTCCTCCTGATACAGATGCATTTGGGCATGTTGATGTTTATGACAACAGGTTACTGCTTTTTGGTACTGATAGGATGCAGAGCACTGAAATGTATTTTCATCCTTAAGCTGACTTGAGAGAATATCAGTAAATTTAACATAATTTTTTTGGTAAAACTGCTAATCATGTGTACATTATATTATCCGAATGCATCTATAGGAAAAAAAAATTCATAAGCCATGGAAGAGATCAACATTAAACGCAATAAGGCTACTGTGTGGTGCTCTTCTCGCCAAAAGAGGTATGGATGCAACAGCTTACTAGTAACATGCAAGGTTCAATATCCTACATGTTTGCAATTAGGGGATGGCTTCTCACTATGAGGATTCTCTGTTGTTTGTTCACATTCTTTATGTTTATCTGTCATGATAGTTCATGGCTGTTATCACCAGAGTGGGCTGGTTGGGTTTTTAATGTTGCTTGTTTCTGCAGTCAACTTTCTTTATCATCTCCAAAGTTATTGGAGATAATGCCAGAATAAATAATGAAATGTTTTTGATGATGCAATCTATTGCTTGTGTAAGTAGTAAATGTGATCACTATCATCAATCATCTTAATTGCGATGCCTTGTTATTTTAATTAAACTTCTGCATCATATTTTGCTTCTGTTATTCCCAAAATTATGTCAAGATGTAATTATCATGCGATAATTCTCTTTCTTTCATGCTGCTAGGTTTTTTTTTCTTTTTCATTTTCTTGGAAATGAATTGGAAGTCAATGGTTCTCTTACAGCTAATTTTGAAGAGACGGTTCATAATAAATCCGGAGGCCTATTAGATAGAAAACTTCAGCTGACTTAATTTGAAGTAGACCATTATTTCCGTTAACTAACATTATACATTGATCAATAAAAGTAGTTTTCTTTTAGTTTCTTAAACAAACGGCAAATTCAACAGCAGTAATTGCAGTGTCCTCACCAAACTATCCATTTCAGATATCAGCAGCTCAGTTTTTCATATCCTTAGGTAGCAACTTACCCACTAAACACAGCCACTTCTTTTTTCTTGTTTTCCCATTATTTCCACAAGGTCAAAGACAGCACAGGAAGCTTAAGAGAATAAAACAGGACATCCCACTACCACATGGACCCATTTTGTGATATGACATCTTTTGCCTCGCTCACTCTATCGAGACCCCTTTGCCTTCCTCTTCTCATTGTAGAAGAAACCAAACAAGGACACAACGGAGAAAGCACTAAAGCAAATCGAGCAAATATCCATCGTCGTGTGGCGGCCGGAGATTGCTTCGATTTGAAACAAATTGGTGGTCTTGTGTGCGTCTGTTGTTTGCCCATAAGCCACCTCTTTCTCCTCCGCGTTAAAAGCATAGGCGCGTATGAAGTACGTGGCAGTGGGCACGTCGGGTTCAACAGTCCACTCAAGGGATTGGGCGGTTTTGTTGGCAGAGTTGTATGGTCTAGCCACGATCTTAAACTGGCAAGTCCTGTCTTTGTTAAGGTGGTCTTCGGTTTTTCTCCACGCGCGGTCTACTTGGCTTATGGGCGCGTAGCAGAGCTTGACCTTGATGGCCTTGTAGGTCGAGTCAGTCCCAGCTGGGAGGGTCTGGTTCAGGCCCCATGTAACGGTGATTTTGTCCACACCGGCTCTCAATGCTGTAAAGTTAACAATTAGTTTTATATGGACGAATGAAAGAAATATCTTAACTCTTTTCAACTCTTTCCTTTTTCATTTTATTTAAGCAAGATACCATTAATAAATTGGTGTATTACTAATAATCCTACCAGTTAATTGGATGGCTAAGATAAATATCAAATGGAATGCGTTGTCATTACATGTGGAAATACGACAAAATCGGTGTAAATGATGAGACTGAAAGAGAAAAAACTCATTTCTTTTTTAGTATAGTTCCAATTAATTAAACTGAAAATATAATAGCTGTGTCGTAGTTCCTACCGCATCTGATATTATATATACTGACTATTTATTATTTATTGCATGGTAACTTTCGAAAAACTCAATTTTTCAATATAATCTCAGTTAATTAAAACGACAAGATGGTAATTATGTTGTCATTTTTGTTGTATCTGACATTATCTAAATTGAGAAATTTTATAATAGATAAGGAATAACTAATGGCGTATACGATAATTATTTCATTGAATTCATTTTGAGGAGAGAGATAGACATATTGAATTATATCTAGATTCATCAAAAATAATTTTATTTCTCATTTTTTTAGTATCCATCTCTCTCTTCAAAATGAATTCATAAAATAACTACTGTATACGTCACTAGTTATTTCTTTTGTATTATAAAATTTATCTTCTAAACTAACGACTTACCATGTATTGCATGGTAGTTTTCAAAAAATTCAACTTTTTAATATAATCTCAGTTAATTAAAGGGACAAGATTTTTGAAAAATTGAGAGGTAGTATTTGAAAAACTTAATTTCTTCGTATAGTCTCAATTAATTAAATCAACATGAAGGTAGTTGCATTGTCGTTGACCTCGGACATTATCTAAAGTAGTCATTTATCATGCACAGTGTGGTAGTTTTCGATTAAATTTTTAAAAGCCTAATAATTGTTTCCAATTGGTAAACAAATTCTTAAAAACTCTTAATTTTCTATTAGATTCTAATAGCTTAATAATTGTGTTTAAACAAATTTCAAGAGTTCTAATAAAACAACTAAATAAACAATAAATGAAAGCCTAACATGTTATTAAAATCGACATAAATTTCCAAAACTTAAAACAAGATAAATAACAAAAGCTTATCTAAAAAACCATTAGAATTAACATAGATTATAGACTAGAGAGAGGAAAAGATGGGCTGGGAGAACTGAGAAGTTGAAAATCAAGAACAAACATGAAAGAAGACCGAAGTTACGTGGATTGTGTTACCTTGTCCTGATGTTGGTGAAGCCGTGACTTCAAGAGTTCTTTGCAGAGAAGAGAAGAGCCCAGTTCCATAGCAAGGCAATAGGAAGCAAGAGAGAACAAGTGATGCCAAGAGAAGACCTCGTCCAGCCATTGCTAGATACTTTTCTTTTCTTGTACTAAGTAACACTTTGAAGCAAATCAGAGGCTACGATCCCACTAAAACTGATGCGAGTGATGATATGACGAAGTGCGAAGTGCTTGTGTTTACCTTATATAATACAGGCCAAACAAGTTGCAAATAAATAAAGAAAACCCAAGATATAAACTTGCTGGCACAATTTGAGAAGAAAGTTTTGATTATGATAACTATGACCCTTGAACATGAGGAAAGGGTGGGGTTAAAGCGGGTTTTGTTGAATTAACAAAAGAGGTTTTGAGATGGATGGGTTTGGGATTTTGTTTATTGATTGACTTTGTTTTGCCTGCTAGTATTTAATTACTATACTTTAGAAGCGTGGAAATTTATGGTGGATGTTGAGAAGATATACGTGGTATCCGTATCAAGTACATTTTCATTCTTCTTGACTTTTCTATTTGATTTTTGATTTTTGATTTTTTTAGATGCTTTGGCTTGTCCCCTAACATCTTGAAAAGATTAAACAATCAACATAGCTAGGAATTGTGAAGGGAATTGCTGACCTAGCTAGACAATTGAAGGAAAAGCCAAATCGCATGGAAAGGAATGGAAGAGGAGAACGGGCAAGCTCAATCATAAGTTGGCCTTTTGGTCCCCAGCAAGACAGGAATTTTATTGTACATATAGTCATTAGTCAATTGTAAGTTGGCCTAATGGATTACCCATGCATCTGTTTAATTGTCAAGCATTTGTTGTTCGCATGATTTTAATTTTGATACTAAGAAAGATTTTTTCATTTGTTCTGTTTGTGAGGATAACTCCAAAATCATCCCACTTGGAACCAGTCAGTTGTTTAAACCGAAAATTCAACGCCCATTTAACAACTTTAAGGATGTATTTTGATAATGCATTTGCATTGTATTTGAAAATATTTGTTAAAATATAATTAAAGTGAAAAGGCTTCAATTTCATGATTTTTTAAGAGTTTTTGGATGATTTTTATATGTTGACATCAAAAAAATAAAAAAAGCACCCCCAAAAAAAAAAAATCAATTTGATGGTTTTTTTTTCTTAATCCAAATGTACTTCTACAAAAACACTTACATCCCATTATCAAACACACACTAAATATAATTAGTTTAGTATTTTAGCTTAAGAATATTTAATTAGTAACGGATGGAAAATTTTGAGCTAAACGAATTATCTTAGTTTACCTGAATTACTTCTTTGATAGGTTGAAATTGAGTAATGGAAATTTTTCCTTTTTTAGGATCGATGAAAGAAAAAAATGTTGTAAATTAGCACTGTTTAGGAATAGACTAAATTTTTTTTTCCATTGACTAATTTTTTGGTGTAAAAAATAGGGGAAATATTTTTTGATAAAATATATTTTCTAAAAAAAAAAAAACCTAAATTCAAGATCCATTTCACCGATGCAAACCAAATATATAAGCAACTAGAGAAACAAAAAATAAAAAATAAAAAGAGCTAATAAATCTTGGAACCAAATGGTTGTTTTAGTTTGATCCTTGATATGATATTGAAAAGTTCTCTAGCTATTAATTAGTGAAAACAATTCTAATGGTAGAGGCAATTCCAATTGTTCAAATGAATCTTCCATCTATTTCTTTGTATTTTCTTTTCTTTTTCTTTTTGTTTATATGAAAGATGAATTCGAGATCTTTTTTAAGCAAAAAGGACACTAATGTTAGTTGAGTTACAACTCATTGGCATCCATTTCTTTTGTTTTGTAATATTTAAATACACATGTGATGATGAGTTTGTGGGAGAGTTTTTGAAAACACATCAATAACAAGTCAATGGACGGGTTGATGTTGGATTGAGAGATGTCAAGTTCAACGAAAAATTAAACACATAAGCAATAAACAAATAACCCTAAGCTGAAACATCCTAACTATAAACTAGCATCAATTACACTCCAAAAAACCCTCAAACACACATTCAAGGCCCAAATCACAACCAATAAGATCCTCAACACAAGCACAAACAAAATCAACGCTCTCCAAGCAATCAAACGACGATGCTCGCAACCGGGACAAGTGCGATCCCCAACCAAATCAACTCAAAAGTAATTGAAACTTTACCACAATCTACATAATGTCTAGTAGCATGTGCGTGTCCAATTTCGGATCAATCTAAACTCTATAACCTCCCTTTTCTAATAAGTTGAAATTCTAGACAGAATAGATTCTAGAATTTACAATGATTTTGACATCCCAAAAACCATTCAAATATTTTTATAATTTTTTATAGGAGATAAATCAACCCCTTAACTAACTATTGTCAAAATTTTAGATAAAAAAAAAAAATTCTTAGCCTTAGTTATCGACTTTGAGATGAGATCTAATCGATCTTGGAATCTAGATTAACTCGCAACTTATCAACCAAACACAAAAATAAAAGGAAGCCCCAATATCTCACCTCATAGAAGAATACTCCATCTAAATTGATTTAAAGAGTACTTACAAGATACACTCATCAAGAGTATACTTGACACAATTGTTGATCTAAGCCTTGGTGTGCAAGAGGCATGCTTGGCTTATAACACGTCTAGCGCCCAACCGGCTTGGCATGTGTGAGGCATGCCTAGCTTGTTAGGAGGCCTAGGGTGTGCTAGGCATGCTTGGTTTGTAGCGTGCCCAGCACACGACTAGCCGTACTTCTTACGTGCTTAGCGCGTGATCGCCCCTGCCTCGTTGCATGCGTGAGGGCTAATGTCTAACATTAACCTCGTGTGCCCCACTCCTTTTAAGCTCAAAATTCAATTTTAAAACATATATAAAATACCAAAATATTAGATTTATAATCAAAAATTGATTATTCATGCAATTAATCATAATTAACAAAACATACAATTAAAGATTCAACAAAGGCTTTAATACCAATTATAGGATCATGCATCTTATGGAGGTATGAAATAAAATAAAAATTTTTTTCTCCATCTAAGGCTCCCAAGACCAAGTCATTAAATCAACTAGTCATACACATGAATTAAAACGTAAGTAAATTATTACCTCTTGTAGCATAGATTTAGCCTTTGTAAAAAATAGT